TTAGCATTTCAATGAATATGTTATATTCATCGACCAAATATGTCATCGACGTGATCGTTTGCAGCTCGTGTGCATCGCAGCCGATGACTAATAAGTCACGGGTTAATAGACGAAGTTTCGTCTCGCCTCGTAAAATCGTAAACGGGCATGCACTTTATTGATAGAAAAGTCAGAAGAGAGAGAAAGAGAGAGAGAGAGGGGGGGGGGGGGGGGTGGGAAAGAGAGAGAAAGAGAAAGTGAAGAATTTCCATAGTGAGAACTAGATAGAGAAAGATAGAAGGGCGGAAAGGGACGAAAGGAAAGAGTAAGCGGTATCGATATGCACAGGGAATATCGGATGTGAGAGCTAGCCTAGCAATATCGAGATGAGTTATTGTTCGCCAAGCACAATGCACTCAAATATTGAATGAAACTGGAAAATTGATACAAAAAATTCGTATACGGCTCTACAGAAGATCCTATCAATATTCAGCATCATCTGCTTAGCGAAAGCGGAGCAAGCCTCTCGACGTTTTAAGCACATATCTCGTAATAATCGTGTAGCTAAATAAAGATTTTCCTACACGTGTCGGCGCGAAATGCGGTATTCGAAAATATTGTTGGTTTTCAGCAAACAGTGATGATAATTGTCCAAATATGGCAATTCTTGTTTTGCTGAATTGATAATTTATTTGCGTTTTGAAACAGAGTAAATATCACCGCACCTGTGTGCGGTAAATTCGTAAATTGAGCTTAACGTATGAAAAATATGAAAACGTTGTTGTGTACTGATCTGAGAAACGTGTGGGGTAGGTACATCAGCGAAACAATGAAAAAAAACAAGGAAAATTAATTGAAACTGAATTCGTTGCACGAATCTATCGCTTGTTGCGATATTCGGCAATAATCTAATTTTATTTATATCTGATTATAATTTATTTCTCTTTCATTCTTTCTGTAATTATCAAAAAAACCTGCAGCTTCATTAGCTACCGTTCTCTCACGGTCATACTTTCTTTTCTTCAAGACGTAAAATCGTTTCCGCGGGTTATTATCGGTATAGGTCGAAAGAAACTTCCACGGTGCTCTTTGTCTTAACGATTATTAGCGTTATCCCCTTCGATATATAGAAACATTTACGGCTTTTTTATCTCTCGCCATCCCAGCGTCGGGGGCATCGGGTCTTCTTTATGAGCGCCTTTGTTCTTCCGCGAGTCAAATCCACACTAAATCAGAGTACTCTGTACGGGAAACGTCCAAACGTCAAAGCATCCCGAATCCATTATCGGGCGAGTGTTCCATCAAAACGGGGTCTAAATTAAGGGAATCCCCATTTCGCGTTTCGCGATCGATAGGAGGGAGAAGGGCGGCACGATGTGGAGCGGCCATAGTGCCAGCAACCGCAGGAAAACGCGACGACAAAGGGAAATGGACGTGGGAAGAATCCGGGGGAGGAGGAGGAAGGGGTTCGGAATCGACGAAGCGTGCCTTCCGCCCTATCCTCCTCCCTATTCCTCCCATCGTGCGTCTCCTCTCATTCTGCACCCCCGTCTGTTCGTCCACCCGGACGGTCTTTCCTTTTTCATCGACTGCCAGCAGATAGACAAGAAAATCGGTCGGCATGTATTGCCCGCCATCGTAAATCCATCGTAACGAGATATCGGACACCAATTGCGACGTATCAAACGCCATCGTCTTTTTACACGTTATGGATCTTCAAAATAATTTTACGGATAATTTGTTTTACCGCTTGCTTTACGTATGCAACAAATAGATATACCAAATGTATTTCTTTAATCGAACAGTTATATCAGTTCATTTGTAGCAATGAAACATGCCTTAATTATTATTATAATATACTTTTTTTTTGTTTTACGTAAACTATACATTGCGTAATGCGTTGATTTTTAATAACAAAATACGGTAATTTGCGATTCAATTGAAGAGGATTAACTCTTCATTGAAACACCATTCGTAGTTTCAAGCTCTTCTTGATCTATTATATTTTTATCTTACAATAAATAATAACAAAAGTAATTGTCTATATTTGCACCTAAAACATCTCAAATAACATGGACAAAGATTTCCAGCGAAAGTTTCAGCAGAAAGATTTAGCAGTCGTAGGCCCATTACATAGTTGGAAAAGATTTCTACAGACCGTCATTCCCCCTGAACTGAGAGCGTAAAGTAACCAGACGATTTCGCAGGTGTTTTTTCAAGCAGTCTTGCCTGTAGGTGTTATACGAGAGCAAAGTGCTGGAAAGTCAGCGAGCTTAAATATCTGTCGTGCGCGGGATGTCCGCAGGACGGACAGCGCGAGCTCCCGACATCCAAGGTTTTCTTCCATACTCGTTAAACGAACCTACGCGAATAACCTTTTAGTCTAATTCGTCGTATAAAATCCCAATTAAACGCTTGGAAAACTGGAGATCCCGTCCGAGCTTCCTCACCCCGGGAAAGCCAATAGAGAAACCACGTCCTCGTAATCCCCCACGGAAGCTTTTTCGGATAAAGACTTTTATTGGCGGCGAAAGATTTGTAACGGAATAGACCTATCGCAAATTCTCTATCGAAAACGGGCGCAAATTCTCATATCCGGCGCTGCCATATATTCGTGTCCTTTGATGTCAGAAGAAGAAGCACACGAACCTTCAGCAATATAAGAAAGTACCTTGGAAATTGCTGTCGATATGAAGAAATATGAACGTGGCGAAATGATCGTTCAGAGACACTCCAATTTCTGATTCCTTGACCAACCCAACATTGGTTACCACAAATCTTACAGTAATATTGTTATAATTTGTTACAGTTTTCATAAATTTTTTTATTATTAATTGCTCTTAAAATTTAAGCTTAAAAATATTTTTAACATTCCGGAACTTTTAACGGATATAAAAATTGCTTATAATTGCCTATAAGTGGAAATTAAACCGATAAATCAATTAAGAGAAAGAATGCTATTTTTAGTCGTAGCTCTTGATGCTTAATAATATTTACATGCAAATTTGCAAATATATTTATCTATCCAGATTGAAACCTTGGCTGAGGTGATACTTTTCGCAATAAGCTCTTTCAGTGCTTTAAGATGCTTAATAGCATCATTATTAAAATTGACGCTCAATGTAATTTGCGATGTTATTTCCAGTTTAATTTTCTGATGATTGCGTTTGAAGCCCGATAAACCGAATCGACGGGCAATTTGTAGAACTGAAAAATGCATTTGCAAATTTGCATATAAATATTATTAAGCACCAAGATCCACTTTGATGAAAAATAGAATTCTTTCTTTTAATTGATTTAAAAAAAATGCGCAATTATTATATGCCAAGAAATTAAACAATAACAAATCGCAGACATACAAATACAGATACATCTTGCTTCTTACATTTCAGTCTTCAATCTCTTCGACAAATTGTAAGTCGCAGGATCTTTCGAACAAAAAGCTGTCCGATCTTACAGTAAGAAAGACTCAAGTGCACTCGCGCGTCAGCAGCGGCTCGTTTCTTTACCGAGACGCTCCATTAAACATCCTCAACTACTTCTACTTTTGCACATTTTTTAGAGCTCGTTTACCTCCTATTGTTTCGCCTCGGCTCTTCCTCCGACTCTACTTGTCAAGGAAAGCTTTTCTTCCTTCTAGCAATATTAATTGCGATTAATAAGTCAAAACAATTACGACGGAACAAAATGGAGAAAATAAAATGTGTTCTCGCGGTTGCATTCATTATTTCTCTCATTTTCCGTATTTTAGACGTATGTCAAAAACATCTTCATCTATGAAACTTAATTTTTTTCCCCCATTATTATCGAAAACGAATCACATATACTCCTCGTTATTTCGGGGCAAAATATTTCCCGTAGAGATTTCGCTATCATTATTTTCTAAGAGAAGCCCGACCTATCCGCACACCAAGCTGCATTACAGAAAGACTGTATTCCGTACTGCCTACTAACCGTCAGAGCGTGGCCGGATTTTCTCCACATTTAGCACCGAATTATTACGCCCCCCGAGCGTTCTCCATTCTCGCCATTTTACCTTTTCTCGCGTAATCTGTCGCACTGCCGAGCGGAACGCCAAGGGACGCGATGGCACGGAGGGAAATGAGAATATAAAGATGAAACTGCTTCCTGGTTAGACATCACGTTTGTTGACAAGTTCGTGATTCTCGTGAACTACTCTGTCATTATTTTTTCACGTGATACTGTCGCTTTTTTTCACGTGCGATCGAACATGTGTCTCATAGCTGGAACGTTTTGTCCTAACAATTCGATACGTTGAAAAATCCGAGAATATGCGACAATAAAATTCAATAAAATTCTAAATTGCTTATTGTAAAATCATATTGAGCTGCAAAAAAAACGTGAAAATATTTTCCAAAGCTGCGTGAAAAATAGCAGTCTTCTTCTTTTTATACAAATTAAATCACAATAAACACAGAGAAAGAAGTTCGATTTTGCTAAAGTGTCTAAAAATTTAGCTTATAGATACAGATCTGAAAATAATTTTGCGGGACCATCAAAACAATTATGTAGAATGCTCAAATTAATTGCTAAAATGTCAATATTTTTTGCAGCTCATTATGTGTTCCCTACGTAATTTATGATTTAATTATTTCGATGGATCAACAAAATTATTTTCAGTTCTGTATCTATCTAAATTTTTAGATACTTCAACAAAATCATCCTTTTCGTGTAAATATAAAATTATTCCCCTTTTGATAGAATTTGCACATGCATTCACACATGTCGTTTGAGAAAAGCCTAATTATACGATGTATTAAATAAATCTTCTGTTTTATTGGAAATAACAAGAGTATAGGAAATTATGCGCAATTTTGCACGTATCTTATAGGAGTCTATTGCTCGATTTACAGCTCGACACCTTTAAGACATCTTTAGGCATTTAGATTCTTTCATTACATCGATATTCTCACAAGTTACTACGACTGCAGATCCGTCGAGTGTGTACTCTGCACTCGAAGCGGCTCAGCCACCCTTTGTATTTGAATATTGCTGTCCAGGATCAACGGGGCCATCTGCACGGTCGGCGGATTCAGGCTTCGCGGATACCGATCCGGACTTGATGAGCTTCGCTATCAGTGCAACCGGATATTGCAGGACTGAGATAAAGGCCAGACCACGACGGGGAAAAGTCTCGAACGCTCGAAGAGGAGATGAAACGGAAGAAGAAGAGAAGGAAGGCAACATGCGCGAAATCATCTTTAAGTAATCGGCCTTTCCGAAGGTATTCGTCGAGACGAGAATGGGACGAGAATGGGACGAGGTGAGATGCAAACGACGACGGTGGAAAACCGAGGCATACCGGGGACTCGATTAAATGATTAAACGAGCCCCGCGGCGCCATATTAAACTCGCCGTTATTCTCCCGTTCATGGTAGTCGCTTCCTGTGACGACGACAGTCACCCTCTTCGCCGACGCGGCTTCTTCCATTTTTCTCCCCATTCTTCGTACCTTTCTCGCATCCCCTAACAATGTCATTGTCCATTATCGCGGCACAATCGAGGAAGAACAAAAACAGATTTCGATTATACCGATTGCAATGAATTCTGATGAACTGGTTTTCTTTTCTGAAGCAGGAAAGAGGAAGGGTGTAAAAGACGTCCCTCATAAATCTCTCGGAAGCGCTATATCGCTCCGTCTGCACGGAGTATCTCGAGAGGAATATGTCCGATTCTTGAAAACGTTATTCAAATGCTTTTAAATAGGAAAAATATATGAGTACGATGAGTAATGTAAGATATAGAATCTAAGGATATTTCGAGATAATGAAATGAGACAAGAAACTAGAGTAAAATAACTCGTAACATTTTATCACATAAAAATATTAACGATTTAAACTAATTAAAGAGCTATTATATGTATAATTAAAGGAGTTACAATTTGAAAGTTATTTTGAGAGGAAGAAATTGGAATAAAGTAACGCGAAGTAATGTTTTATTATATAAAAACATCAACGATTAAGCTAATTAAGGAGCTAAAAAAAATCTAGAGAATATTTCGGGCAAAAGAAATTAGAATAAAATAACGCGTGATAATATTTTGTCATGTAAAACTATTAAGAGACAGTATCAAGTATAATTGTCTCGCGTCAAGTCTACCAATTATATAAATATCATGGTTTCAGTTAATTAAGGAGTTAATATATCCTACATATTTTAATGAATATTTAAATTTTATATTTTTCGTATCGCTGCTTGTATCACCAATAATCATCATTATGTATACAGAATTAATGTAATTTTATTACAGTATAATATCCTGTAATAAAATATTCAATGTTAAAATTCCACGATACATAATTTCATTTTGTTTATGAGCAACTTGGGGAAACATCGTTACAAGCTGGATTTTGAACGATTTGGAGTAAAGTCTCTCTCTATCTCTCTCTTTCTCTCTCTCTCTCATTCTCTCTTTCAAACAGCCTTTGAAATAATTACGCGGATGACGCGACGACGGCGTGCAACGAGCATAGATTTTCAGACGAGACTCGATTAGATCATTTAGATCGTTTTAACGCCAACGGAAGAAGCGGATCGGCTTTTTACAGAGGTTCGGATATAACCGTTGAAGCGTTCGCGACTGGGATGCATTTGCATATAAACGAGAATTCACAGCAACGCCGAAACGCGCTATTTTTATTATTATACCAATTAGGTCGTCACGTTGCACGCACTACAAATCTCCCTCTCTCCCACACACACACACACACACACACACACACACACACACACACACACACACACACACACACACACACACACACACATTTGCTCTCACTCTCTCGCCGAAAGATGCAGCCGCCGGATGTAGCTTCTGCAGCTTTACTCTTCGTCGGGATCACCTGCAAGATTAACCGGTGCGATGATCAAATTTCGGTGAGTTTTGTCCATCTTTTTTTTCAGAGCACTGTTGATTCAGGCTTTTTGCAGGCGGCACTCGAACCTTGCGATTAAATAGTCCCGCGAAACATTTTTTTTCCACCATCGAACGAATCGTCTCATATAGAGGGATTGGAAAGGCGTCCTCTCCACTCTCTTCTCCTCTCGTACCTCTCGCCGTTGTTCGACACGCAGTTATCCGTATTTTATGGAATGGCTCTCTTCAACGGTCCTTGTTTCCCCTCGCTTTCATAAATCATTTACGTCGCAAAAGCAACGTGTCTGAAGTTCGATTGCAATTTTCGCGTACCACTACCGTTAAGTCGATTTATTCCCTCGTTAAAAAACGACGAGTAGAGCAGAGAATAATTAAGTGAATAATAATACGATTCATTAATTAAAATTGTCACGTTGACGTGAGCGTTACGTTACAACGATGTTTATGAAATAAATAAGGAGAATCCCAATCAGGGCCGAATGTTTTGTTCACCGTGGTACTCGAGATTCCCCCCCGATTGCTATTTGAAACGTTTCCAGTTTTCAATATCAAATCGATCTCGGTGGACGTAATTGCCAATCTCCGTCGCAGTTAGCGGAAGACGGGGACACGTCGTGCTCCGGAAGGCTCGGTTCGCGAGGTAGCCGATCGAAGATGTGTCCGTCGCCGCGCCATCGAGATTCAACAACGCCCGGGGCTCTTCCAACTCGGTGACGTTTGACAGCTCGTTAGCTCGTTTCCCTGACGAGGGAAATCGCGGTTACAGCTATCCATTGTTCTCGGACTTTGGTGAACGCGCGATTTTCTGTGCGCATATTTCGGGGGCTGCTCCGTAATTTTGTCTCTCTCTCTCTCTCTCTCTCTCTCTCTCTCTCTCTCTCTCTCTCTCTCTCTCTCTTTAATTTTTCATATTTATCTACTACTTACAATGTTATCTTCTGTTTTCTTTATTTTACTTTTATAATTTGAACTGTTATAATTTGAATTACTAGATACTAAAAGAACAATGGTGACCTAATCCTTTGAATTAAGTAGTATTTTATTTTCAATCTCTGTATGTGTCAAAATATAACTCAATTCATTTTTGTATTTAATTTCCAGAGGAACAATGTCCATGACCGGCATTCATAGTTGGTTCTTATATTCAAGATTGTCTTAAGTATAATCTTGAGATGTCATAAACCAATTAGGAAGCCGTATTAGTATCTTAAGACATTACTTAAGACATTACTTAAGATCTTAAAATAAGAATCAAACTATGAATACAGACTCAAATTAACATAGGTATGCATTTAGTAAATAATTAACTAAATTAAAGTCAAATTTAATAAATTTTCTTAAGTTAAATTGTTCAATTCCGTTATTTTAATTAAATTAATCCCGTGTTGAACATTGGAGAACTATAGAAATGATTAAAAATTATTTAAATTTGGTATAATTTGACATTATGAATTTAACAGTGTACATATTTTATTTATATTATAGTTCTCATTATTCCATATTTTTAGTTTCTTTGTTTTCATTTTTCGTTTTTATTCTATGTTCTTAGAAGGTTTGCTCTAAAATATTAACATAAATGCCATTATCTATCTGTTTTGTCTATTTGTCTAACTACTCATCTATCTATCTATCTATATATCTATTTCCGTCTTGTCTAACTATTCATCTATCTATCTATATATCTGTTTCCGTCTCTCTCTTCTCTCTTTTTTTCTCTTTTTTTCCCTCCTATTCCCATCGTCTGGCGTACAGAAACGAGTCTCTCCTTTGTGACCAGGATGTTCTGGCGGATTGCCAGGATTAATTATGGTATACTGAACTCTCGGATGGACTATCATGCTCAGCTCTAACTCAGCTTTCAATTTGCAATCCCGCGTATCGACGTCCTCGAGAATATTTCTGTACTTTCGTGAAATCTCAAGTATCACGCGCGACTGAGCAAATTTCTCGCAGAATTTATTATGGAGAAAAGAACATTTAGTTGACAGAATTTCGATTTAATATCGGAATTATTAAATTGAAATTAACTAAGAACATTCTCTCTAATTGATACCAATTAAAATTGTCATTTATGGATATCTATAACAATCCTCATTTTTTTAGATTCATGATCATATTATTGCATTTAGAAATTTTTCATTTATAAATTAATTACATGATTTTGCAGAAGAGAATTTTAAAAACTATAACAATTTTATTATCATATTATTTTCGAGAAATAGCGTTGTCGATTGCTTTATTAAGTAAAAATCGAGCCTTTTCTATTGTTAAAAAATTTGTAATCGCAATCAAAAAAAATCCAACCGTAAATTTTCAATAATATAAAATTTGTTACGGTATATATTCAGTATACGGGATATATTTTTTATAGATTCACATTGAAATCAACTTGAAAGTGCGATAACATTTACGGACGCGTTTTATTTAATGTATGATGTTACAAAAATATATGAAAATATCTGAAAAAACACCGTATTCGCTGTAACGTATTATAGCTAAACCATGACAGACGACCGCGATGCATTTACCGCTCATCCATAATCGAATTTCACGTATGGACGCAAACGAATAATTATGTACATGTTTAACGGAATCGCCCATGTTTTATGTAGCTGTATTACAGCAAAATGTAAACATCGCGGGCGTTTTTCTCAGCACGAATGTGTTGAACATTAATAAAATCGACTACAACTCGTCGCATATTGATTTCTCTGGTCGGGATTATCATTTTTTTTTTTTCCAAGTAAAGGGCGATAGCGCAAAATCGATGGAGATAAATCTCAAAAGCGAGATAAACGATGGCATAGTGAGTGCATGACAGCGAAGAAAACGGACATTGGTATTCCGATAGCCGTCCAAAGAAGAAGGCAGGTGTTCATCGGAGGCAGCTGCAATCACGACCACCATCTGCTGCGGTAATGCACGCCCGTTCGGAGTCTTGAAGCGAGGCAAGAGGCCCCGAGAGTCCCGGCAATTAGGCCCAGCCGAAACACGTGCCCGGTTCGGATGAACCGATTTCGAGGAGAGACGTGATTCTCCTTGAAAGCCGTACGTCTTTCTCTCTCTTTCTTTCTCTCGCTTCCTCCCTTCCTGCTGCGTTTTTTTTTCTTTCCTTTTTCCTTTCTTTTTTCCACTCCCTTCTAATTTTTTTTCTTGCTATTCTTGCTTGGCTGCGCGCGCGCCCGTTGCACCTTCGCGTCATCTTTCAACAACAACTTGTTGAGCAACAGTTGGTCGGCACGAGACAAGGAATATGCTTGGGTACCGATTAAAATAAAAAGGAATAAAGACTTGGCTCGCGCGAACAGCTACACCGCGCGAAAATTGCAAGCTACTACTATTAGGAAAGAATCTACCATTTACGTTGAAAGTTCCAGAAATTTGTTTACCTTATACAAGTTCATATCTTGAAATACATAAAATTTATGCAAGAATTTTATTGCGATTGAATATCGAATAATATAATATGACATAACTTTATAATGTACTTAGAAATCTGTATCTTTTTTTACACACCTTATAATTAATTAAATTCTTTCTTAAACAAATTAACCTTTGTAAACAAACGTTGTTTCTCAAGCAATAATTCATGAAATGATTTTTTATGTAGTAATAGCACTTGAAAATAAAACTTTGACACACACACAAGATACTACAAGTGACATCTTGTGGCAAATGTATAAGTTTCTAGTAGAAAATATATATATATATATATATATATATATATATATCGAGAAAGAAAATTCGATAAAATTTTTATATAGATTTTATATAAATCCCTGTT